CATTAGTGCTGTTTACTTTCGTAAGTTGCAAGTCGATAAAGAAGCTGTAAGATTTTGTCGCCTCCACGCGTTATTGGAAGGGAGTTGTAAGGGCATAATCAGCTTGAAGGAGATTTGTTGGACGTTGTGTGAAAGTAATTTTGTGTCTTAACACCGAAAGATATTAACTCTTGTTTCTTGAAGTATCTTTTGACAGTTAGATGGACATCAAAACATTCTAACTTCTTGAAATGTTAATGTCCAGTGTATCTGCAGGGAAATTCCCGTCTCCGGTTAAACACTTCAGCGCATTTCTACCGTTTTATTACCTGGTTTTCATAAATATGGCTATCAGCTGGTGCCATCATACTAAATATTTGTTGATGGTTGCTGTTCAGTATAATTCTATTGGGTTAATAAACACGCAACATCGCTCACGAGGTGACGTCATGCTGTAACCTGCTCGCACCTGTCTGTCAGTTGTTTTCAACAGCTGAAGCTCAAGGATGTCTTTTTCACAAGTGCAATGAGTGTTCATTGTCCAACACTCCTTGGCATCTCGTTCTTACTTAACTTGCAACAGTGAGTTCAAGGTTATATTTTCCGAATCTCAGACAAATCGACAGTTTCTCGACTAATGAACCGTTTCTGTCACTTTGGAACTCTTCACTGGATTGCTTCGACCAACAACTAGGAAAAGGGTTAATGCATGCACCGTTGAAAGTGGTGAAAATTTCCAACATCGTATTTTATATTCTAATTTCATTGTAATTTATATTTTTACAAGTAGAACATTTGCAAGGAACAGATTGTAAGACATATCGACCACTCAGTATGTTGGCAAGTCAACTCATATTTTTACGCACTAAATCTTAATGTTTGTATCGGGTGCAAGATTGCCCTTGGGAGTTTTCTTTCATTCATTATGCAGTAGGTTTATAAATCCGTACCGTCCTGGTCACGTGTCTTCATTTCTTCTGTGTATATCGACCTGGAATTTCCATTCTGTCATTCATATAATTTCTTCATTCTTACCCTCGACCATACGCTTTATTAACTAACTAGCTAACTAGATGACTTACCGAATCCTAAGGTTCATCACCGAATTAACCAAAGCCCTCCACAGGACCCTGTCCTGGGCCAACAAAATCCAGTCTCCTTCAACTCCTATCTCCCATAGACCCATTTGAGATTGTCTTCCCATCTACGTCTAGGTCTCCTCTAGGCTTCCAACCAATACCCGGTGCACACCTCTTATCCCATCCATGTGTGCTACATGCCCCGGCCATCTCATTCTTCTCGACTTAATCACCCTGACAATATTGGGAGGGGGAGTACAAAATAGTACTGGTTTATTTGTTTAATCAGTAAAAATTATCATATCAGATGAAAGTACAATTATTTAACATTGTACTTACTGACTGGACTTACAACTTCTAAAATTTGTAAAACATATTACACAAAATATGACTATTTTTTCAGAGATTTACGTAAGGTATTCCACAGGGACTTCAATCAGAGAATGTATAGAATAATATGCATGTAAGTGTGCATGATGCAAAAACTCCCAGCAGGAACACTGCAATTATATAAGCCATTTTTCATAGTCACTTATAATGGTAATCTATCGGTTGGAATACAATTTATGTTTCAGAAAATTCCTGGTTCATGTTACAGAAGGAGGGAATATGTAGCTTACATTGATAGTTATAGTTCTATGGTGGCCTCATGAAGACAGCGAAAGCCCTTAACCCCAGCAACCTGCTGCTGCCGGTAGCAGACTGCTCCCTCTCCTGCGGAGACTAACTTTATAGTGATTTATAACCTGAGTTCCGGCAGGAAATGTATGTACAGCTTATGTATGTTCCATGAGGAGAGACAGAGACAAAATTCTGATTCCTGTCGTTGAAACGAACGTTACAGCGATGTGTATATGTGTATACATATATGAATACAGGATGTCGATAAATCAGCGTACGATTTAAAGGGCGTGTAATTACTTATTTGTAAAACATACGAAAAACCTATGTGCTACAAAATAGTCACAAAATATTCAATTTCTTTACATGCAGTCATGGAAGTTCAGATATAATTTTTTCGTATGTGTTATAAATAAATACAAAAATGGGTTACATTTACTTACGTGGGGCACCGACTAGAAAAATCACAAACCTCTTAAAAAAATACAAGAAATAATATTACTTTCAGAACGTCCAGTATTACTATAGGCACTTAAACAACAGAAAGATCAACAGTATAACTAAAATGGAATTTATAATTTAACATGCTAAGGGTGCCGTACCTAATACAGAATTTCCCCAAATATACTGTACGAACAATACATTTATGTGGCACCTTGGAACGCAATGAAAATTCTGGAATAGGCCAAAATGCAGTTACATGAGCACATAAGTAACGTTCTTCGTATAAAATAGCATTAAAAAGGCGTTCATTTAAACGAAAGAACCCAGATAGTCACAAACCCATTTTTGAGATTCTGATAAACTCCAACAATGCCTAAAGACCTTATTCTCCATTCACCCCCTCCCTCCATCAAACACCTAAGTATACCGCTCAACATAAACCATTCCCTTCAGTTAAACTATAGAATTCCATCGGTAACTACATCCACATAGTCTACTCCACTTAAATACGCAAGCTGCTTAATACACAGTCCATTACATGATGAAGTCTATAACAGAATTCAATTACTCAATAATACCCAAATTATCTATTTACGGAAAAATCCTCCAACAGATAAATCGCATCGTCTCACACACTATTCTATTTAACCAGACACCCTACTGGCACAAGACGTATATCTCAGCTGTCATAATAATTTCACGCATCTCCAACGATATAGTGAACCCAGGATCCCTACAACATTATAATGTAAGTAAGAGTGTAATAAAACACCAATCAATTAGAACCTAGAAATTATTATACACAAGAAAAAAAGTATCTATGTTGTTGTGACACATTCATGTAATTCCAGCCTCTGCTGATGATTATATAACAACAAATACCAATAAACGTGTAACAAGAAAGCTTATATCTACCTCAAAAATTAATAATCTCAAGGGCTTTTAACTCGTAGACAGCTTGAAATTTCTGCTATTTTAACAAACATATCACGAAATAGCCATGCAACTTAAACCCGAGAAAATATTCTAATCTAGGTCAAGGTACATACCTATTAAAATACGTGTAAAACAATCGCACGGATGCACGCAAATATTACCTGTTTCAAAAATGTATACAAATCAACCGTTATGTTGATTAGTTTCAAATATTAAGACTGTAATAAAAACGTTTTGTATAGGCAGGCTGTTAACGTAACAATTACAAGCTTTCAGATCGTTCTCTAATTTATGGACACCCGGTGTGATAAGGATCAGTGGTGCTTTATTAAACGTGGGCACCTGAAAAAGGTGAGAAATTTCACCAAGCTAATATCAGCTTCCCAAGTAGCTCACTCTTATTTGGAGACTGGTAATATCGTTTCTTACTGAAGTAATTTGTGAAATCTCGCTTTTAAGATCATCTCTATGTTGGTACAGTCTCGTGGTTTTCCCCAGTGAAACTTAATCTTATTTTCCTCGTTAGATTTGTTGATGCTCCTTTGGTGGAAATCTGACATTTGCGTTGCACTATGAATTGATGTGTGATTTTCTGTCGTCATGTAAGTATTTAAAATGTTTCGGAGGAACCAAATTTGCACCGGAACGTTGGTAACCACTTACGTTACTGCAAGTTGTCGGAATACAAAATATATTGATCTAAAAGTTTTTGGTTTAATTAGAGTTATTATTTATATTGAACTGGTTCCCTGTAGTTATATGAGGTGGGAAGGTGATGAATATTGATTGGGTATAGATTTGAAGGAGGTAAGGGTAATATCTCTTAATTCGAGTGGAGTGGGCAAGGTGACTGACACCATAAGCGAAATTCTGACCGGAAATCGCCCCGTTTACAAGTATAGAGATACAATTTTGTTGCATTATATCCGGTATCAGCAGAAGATTGCATATGATCGATTTACTTGTGTTGATGTAACACGTTTTGGCAATTTTGAAAAATTGCACTGCTTTATCTCTCGGATGATGGATAGGACTCATTTCCTTACGTCTGTGACCTATTGTTTCCGGCTTCTCAGTTGCTTATAAAATATTCATTTCACGGTTTATTACAAGTTCAGTTTTGATTTGAACGTGTGTTCAAGCACTTTATCCCACGAGGCTCTTGTTCTTTTCCCATACACAGCGTCCTGTGTAGCTTTTGTGTTTAACACTTGTGTATCCAACTTCTCGACACTTGTTCGGCGGTACATTTTCCAGTTTGGAAAATTATTTCTTCCAGATATCTATTTTGTACTGCGTCACTCAAACTGAATCGTGAATTGTAAGAATGTTGCGAGTTACTTGCAAAAATTTTTTTTTTTGCTTTTTTTTTTTTTTTTGCTTTGCGTTACTGAGAATTAAAACCGCTTTCCACTAGAAACAGAGTGAAGAGATCGCCATTGGCGAATTCCTGTGTAATGCCTTAAAATAGGATATGACTGGATCCTTCAGAATTGTTACCCATTTCATCTCCTCGACTTTATAAAACGTGGGCTTTTCAGCAGAACAATCGATCTAATAATCAGTCGATCAACCCTAGTCTCGACGTTTCTCTGGTTTTGAACAGTCCCCACAGGCGTCCCTTTTTAAATACTTTCCTCTTCTAACCCAGAGTTGTATAGCAGACTATTAGCAGATGATTCAGCGTCGTTAAGTACCCTAACAATGCTTCGTGATTTACCTCAGATAATAATGGGTACTACATTGGAAAAGACACATTTTTTTCAGACTCAGCCGTGATAACTCCAAATCCTATATTGAGCTGCAAATACCCTAAGATATAACAGTGTAAAGAAATATATAAAAACAAGTCAAGTTTTGGGTTTGTAACCGAGCCTGAGAAATATTCTCCTTCAGACAGGCAATATTGGTAAATGAATATATCTATGGAATTTTTTTCAGGATTTTCCGGATAACAACCATAAACTGCTTTTCGGCTTTAGCCCAGAATCAGCCTAAGGAGGCTGCAGGAAACACGGAAAAATATCAGGCGAGTTACGGGGCTCTGTAATCGATCGGCCACTTCACATAGCAGAAAGTGGTTTAAAATTTGAGATGCTCTGGGTTCATTCACCTGGGACTAAAACAAGTCACCCGAATTATGCAGTGTTCTTTCCTCACGTTAAATTTCATACACAGGCCTGTTGATTGCAGAGAAGACAACTAGGGTTCGATTCTTTTCTTAGAGATTCTTTTTATCTCCACCGTCTTCAAGGCCGACCAGGCCCCCAATAAAATAAATGCCAGAATTATGTCATCAATATTAAAGCTGCACGAACGTGAATCTGACTTATCTCACATTAAATGAAGTTAAATTATATATAATTTAATCTGCAAGCCTATACACCATCGCGTGTTGGTTAGGCAGCTTTACATTTTTATGTGCACTGTTAGGACACTCAGTCGATTCGAAAATAAACTGTGTCATTCCTTTAGCCACCCAGAGCTCAGGATGTTGAAATCCGGTCTGTGAAGGCGGAGATACGGGCTTATTGTTAGTCCGAGAGAAATCCGTGTGAGGTTTGCGATGGCTTCACCTCTGACTCCTCACTTGGCCTATCTCAGAGTGCAGGAGCTAAACCATCCAAAAAGACGAAATGGAAATTGAAACTGATATAAAATATATACCTAGATAAATGCACTTGCGAACCTGTTGGTATGTTCAAAATACGGTAACAAGGTTATAAGTTTGTATATTTATGCTGTATCAACTGCCGACTCTCTAGTTTTGAATGAGGTATAGCCGAAAGATTGTGAATAATAAAGCTGGAAGAATTCAAAAGAGAAAGTCTTTGTTTTATTTATTTATGCGCCCTGACACTCTCCTAGACTGTAGGGGAATATCTAGGGCCTAAAGCAGTGGTATTCAACCTGGGGTACGCGTACCCCCGGGGGTACGCGAAGACATCTTAAAGGGTACTTGATATTTAAAATATATATATATATATATATTATTTTATGATAGACACTGAATAATCAGTAATGTAATTTATTTAATTTATTTTAGATGTAGATTATATACTATGTATAACTTGAATTATATACCAACAACTTTGGCGGTACAAAGTTGAAGATAAATTATATCTGGGGGTACGCGAACAAAAAAGGTTGATTACCACTGGCCTAGAGGATAGTGGATATTGTTCTCGGGTACAAATGTGACAAATGAAACTCACATGAATTATCGCAGAACAAGTTATAATAAGAAATCAGGAACGTAGCAAGTCCAACAGACACGCAGTTTAGAATTCGTGAGATAATTTTAAATTTTTAATGTAGACTACAAAAGTAACAATTTTTAAGTTGTGTTGATAACCGAAATCATTGCACTGAAATTCAAGTTTCCCAGCAAGGTTCTGTATATTTGTCGCTCGTCTTGTTTCGACCTATATGTTGTTCTGTCTTTATCATAAAAATGAAAACTTCTTTCTGCAGTATGTTAACATTGAAAATCTTATTTCTCCCCTAGATATAACAAGTTTAAAACTGCGTCCAGTGTGATCACAACTGACTGTTAAGACACTAATGTACATTAAAGTTAATGTATATTGAATATAATATAACATACGCTGACAATGTGTTGTGCGTTACATAATTATAATTTAACTATAATATTTATGCGTTTCGCGGACGAAATGTATAAAATGAGCGCATTCTGGGGAGGTCGAACCGTCCTAATATCCTATCTCGGAAACTGCTGAGCAGAATTTAGTAAAATTTGCCGTTAGGAAGATTTTAACAAAACGTCGTGGGCTGTATTTTATTTGGGTTTTAATATGTCCAGTATACGTTAATTTATATTGAACTCATATCAAACTATAAGAGTATTCTGAAAGAAAAATCCCTCATACGAAATTTTAGTAAATCGAACAAAGCAAGTTGAATTTGAGTTTTAAAATTTTTACATCTTTTTGTTCAACGAAATTCAAGATAAATAGTTATGACTGTGTGCATTACGATGTTTGTAATAAGCTACTTATACTCAAGATATGTACACCTCATAGTTGGTTTCTTTCAGGAATCTCCAGTTGTATAGAGTTGGTCACGTTTACCTTGTTTAAAAGCGTTGTTTCACTTGGAGTTAACCATGCAAAGAGGAAATAGATAATATCAGAGGGACAGCAAAATTTAAAAGCGATATATAGATATATCATAATCCAACATTCCTATATGTAGTCTTGAACCAGATTATTTAATATTCTGCTGCTGCTGAGTTACATATATATTCGTATATTCTTATCTGCGTAAAACAGAATAATAATTTTACATTGAATAAATATTTCAGCGTAGATACTCTCAGCAATGGCTACTATCGCCTTATGGTACATATATTTTCTTAAAATACTCATAGCCTCTCAGTTGGTGAAAATATTATCTGATTTGGTAGACTATTGCCCTATTCTAATTCTATTTTTCATGATCTGTTTTATAAAGACCTATCGTCCTCTTGGTATTTCTAGTCTCTTAATGTGGCCTCTTCCCTTCAAGAATTTCTAATTCAATATATGGATATCACATGTTCTGTGGACCTAATCGCCTTTAATTAATAGTAATACGCTGTTAAGTGAAGGGTAAAAACTGCAAATTGTGTTAACTACTAGTGGTACCTACACAGGAAATTACGAAGCTAGTCATTATACATTTTCTCCATCTTGATGTCACATTAAAATAATCTCTACTGCATCTTGGTTTCGATTCCGTAAAATGAGAGTCAAAGTTTCACCCCACATAACGTATACAAAATTATGGTTCCCTGTATTTTAATATTTAGGTTTTTAGTCGTAGCATGGAAGCTAAGATATTTTGAAGTGAATTTAGTCTGCTTTTATTTTAATAGGGAATATCATTTCTGTTTTATTACCGTTTCCAACGATTTTAATTTCCCACAATTTGAAACAGTTTATTAGCTGTCCTTTCCAATCCTTACTCTATTTAATGTGCTAGATATGTAAAAGGTGTCCCCGGACCTGAGATCGGTCGATCGGAAGGCAACTAAAATTATAGGAAAAACTCAGACATATTTCAATTTGCCTGCAGGAATTCTATCCAAAGAATACAGGATTCTGTTGGCCGGTGTCCTGACCGTACTTACGTACTGCAACGTAAACAAACTCCGCAGAGAAGAACGATACTGAGAGTTCATAACAACTCAGTTTCATTTGCTCTCGAAAGAAATCGATACAGAACACAACTATCCAGCATTCTCTGGCGTAACATACATTGATAACAAAGTCACGTGTCTTGTGTTCCTTCTGGAATGCACTAATCCCCTGGGACTGCTGTGGGCAAGTATCCTCCCCTGAGGCCTCGTAAATTACATAGATACAAGAAATCAGGGCTTTGTTTTTCTCTTTGAAACGGCTTTCATCGTCACTTATTTTTAATGTAACATTTATATGTGGTTTAATCCGTGAATCAGGTCAAGTAATCCAAATTTCGATGTTCTTATGGACTGTAAATGGAGGAATGAAAGGTTAGAGAAACTCCCTTAATTTTCTTTTAACGACTTTTGCATTTACAGAAAGATTTATGGGACCATTCCCTGGTGGGATGGTCTTCATCTTAAGACAGAAGAAACACGCGAGTTGAGGCAAGAGAACAGGCAGAACAGAAACTGGAAGATACGTATTCTAATGCGAAGTGCATTTAGCACTGAAATGCGTTATTTGAGATTTCACGTACGTAAATTCTAAATGCTTTTGACGATATCATATTGAAATTAGTAATACTGGGTTTCTGGACTCTGTACACCGTATAGTACTTGTATACCGAGTAGAACAAGTTTCGGAAAGTGGTCCTGCTTCCGTCCTTAGGTGGTAATGGAGAGAAAGTAAACTTCAGAAGTTACAACATCAGTCACTGGTCCAGTGAGTATGTGCTGCCCATTTGTGGATAAAGTCAGCAAACCCAGTAATGCTAAATCAATTTAAATAATTTAAAGTTGCAAACCTATTGGTACACAATTTATTTTAATGTAAATATCAGAATTACTTCAATGTTAAGGGATTGTCTTTTTTTAAAGAAGGCATATTTCAAAGAAATCTATATTTTATATTATGTGGTAGTATTTTGTAAGAATTGTAGGTCTTTGAGGAATTGATAAAGGTTTATTTACCATTTTATGAATCAGAGATTACAATATACTGCTCGGATATAAATTATCCAGGCAGCTCTCAATGCACAATAAAATAGCAACAAAAATTGGCAAAGGAAAGTAATTAAATTAACGAAGTTCATTCCATTACGCATCGAACGAAACCATTAGCCTCAGGAGGGCATGCATTATACTAAAATCATCATTAAAAATACACATTCCAAAATGCCAGCTTTGTAAACAGTTGGTCGAGGCTTAGGCGTAGCCTAAAGCATATTTGAGTGCTGAAAGAACAGAAGATACGATTGGAAATTTGTTATTGACAGATG